CTGTCCGTCGAAGAATGCCATTTATTATTCTATTTTTCGTATTTAATCAAATTTTTAATAAAAACTTTAACAAAACCATTCTTTCCCTAGAATATTTTCCTATAATAATAATAATAATATTTATAACATTTCTCCGTAATAATATTAATAATAATTTGTCGTATTAAAGAAATAAATAATTTATTTAATATAATAATTATTAATATTGATAATTATTTTACATTATTTTTATTATTTCGATTATTATTATTATTATTATTATTATTTCGGATTTGATTGTAATAATAAAGCGAATAAATTTCTCGCTTTTCATTTCAGCCGTTGCGTGCGATCCTCGAGATATTGCCGCATGGACGACCTGGCTTGCCTCCGGTCGCCCTCGCACTATTCCTACAACTTCATCACCTTCGTGAGCATGCTGCCTATCCCGTCGGCCGGTCAACTGGAACTGTTCACCATGAGGGGTAGCCACCAGCCCGACTCGACGATACAGTTCACCATGGCGCTGGTGGACGTGCGCGCACCACCGGGTGTCGCGCGTGCGACGGAATCCTGTTTCGCCCTGAGAAAACCGGCGCCGTCGCAGGCGGTCCTGGTACTGACGCGTTCGATCCCGGGACCGCAGGAGATCGAGCTGGATCTCAGCATGGAGATCTACCACAACACGATATTCGTCGGGAGCGCGGTCGCTAAAATCCTCATTTTGGTTTCGCAATACGAATTCTGAGAAAAATCTTTCGAGCCGAGACAAGGTGGAGGGCGGAGGGAGGCTCGGAATAAAGTAAAGTAAAGTGGCGTAATTTAGAGATGTATGCGACTATGCCCGCATTTTACGCAATCGCGAATCTTCTTCCTTGCAAGCGGTAACGTTAACATTATTATAATTGTAAAAGCAGGAAGAATCATATTCTCGAATCGTATCATCTTACCTGCAATTACTTTTTTGATGAAGATATGAAATTTTTTATGGCTCTTAAGATCGTCGAATGAAACTTTTTGTGTGTATTAATTAAA